ATTCATCATTGGAAATTTGCACCTTTACATAGTCTCTCTTGGTTCTTATTTTTCACCCTTGCCCAGCCCTCCCTTCAACCCCTTCATTCCTCCCTATTTACAAAGATTTTGTTCCTATTTTGGAAGACAGTTTTAACAGTCACACCACTTCTAAGACAGAGAATATTTAAAGTGCTTTGCATTTTAAAACTGCTATGACTTATAGATTACAATATTCTATGCTACAGAGCAAGAAAACTATTTATTTTAATATTCTGTCACTATGAGAAGGCTTAAAATGCACATTATAAATGTAGTGGTCATAATTGTGGGCTAATCCCCCCAAATTGAAAATGTTGGCTAATTTAATTGGTCAAAACGCATCATTTTTTGTTTTTTTACATAGTTGTAACATAAATTTAGATATATTTTTGCAATTCTGTTTAACAAAGGACTTTTCCCAATTCATGGAAATTATACAACATTTAAAACTACCAGTACTCTCATCAAATTGCAGTCAAAATACATGACTTACCACATTAGTGATTATGGAATCATATCTTACAGTGAGAAATTGCCAAAACTTCAATAACTTGTGTTTTCACTTATTAAAAACACTTTAAATGTGATAACCTGGTGCTATTTAATAAAACTATATTCAAAATTGGTATGTTCTGATTAAACAACATGAAGTTTTAAACCACAGAATTCAATAACTATACTCTAGGTAGGAACAAATAGTAGTGTATTAAAAATATATTGCCCATAATTACAAGGCAAACACCCCTGGCTGGAACATCTAACTGATGTCCCAATGTGTCATTTAAATTGTCAGCTCACTAAACTCCTGGGTAGATCAAGAAAGAATAAAAACTGATCTATATGAGGGTAAAGAAATGAAGTGTACCTGACCTAAGTAGATAAAATGGGACAAACTTTGTTGGCAAAAATGTTAAAACATTATTAATACATGAATGAAATAGTTTTGACATGCTTGCTTCTTTTATGATAACTATGCCTAATAAAATGTTAGACACTCAAGATACAGCTTCAAGGAAATGATGAATTTCTACCCAAATAGGAGAGGTTCAATGCAAATTTAGCAGTTGCCTCCATGTAGATGATGTTGCATAAAGTTGGAGTCACAGATCTGTGAATTATGTTCCTTGATATTCTTAGAAACTGTGTGTTGAGTACTTACTATGTGCTTTAGCACTCTGCTAAGGCCCTTCTTCTCTGGACAGCTGAGCTGGACTGTCACCTTAATTTGCTTGAAAACCCCCTAGGGGATTAGCAAAGCATACTTCTGGGTGGATCTCAGAGGCATGACCTTGGGGACTACATCTGGTTCCTGTCTCCTTCCCCTCTGGTACTGTTCCCCTGCTCTACTTTCTGGTCTCCATGAAGTGAGTAGCTTTGCTTCCCCGCACTCTCCCATCACAATGTTTCAGCCTTGGAGTGAGCTGAGTACAGACTGAAATCTTTGACACTGTGAACCAATTTAAAGCTTTCCTCCTTTAACTGTGGGTGTCAGGTATTTGGTTCTAGCAACAGGGAAGCTGACTTATAATCTATGATGTCATTTAATCCTCACAGAATCTCTTACAAAACAAGTGCTTTTCAGCAAGGGACCTTTCAGAAAAGGAAACAAAGAACTCTTTCAAAGTTCAAGCCAGTAACAGGGAAAACAGGACATCCCTGGCAACTTAAAATTTCCAATTGTTAACAATACATCTTCTTCCTTCTTTATTAATGTGCTTTATCACTGTAAACTTCCTTTTATGAAAAATATGGAGGTTGTAGAATTTTCACCTTGGTTTCCACACCATGGATGAGAGCTGACATACCAAATCATTATCTTCACCATGTTTCATGTTGATCAGGCTCATGAACATACAGTAATAAAAATTCTCCTGCACTTTTTCTTAATAGAAAATGTGCTATACCTTTCTGGTTCAGTTTCTTGCACCTGCCTCATTAGGAACATTTACAGACAATAGAGAAAATAAAATATTTCTCTACAATAATTTTTTCTCAGGGTAATATGAAAATGATTGACAGTTTGCTTAGGTAGAAGATCCTTGATACAATATGGCCTGTGACAGAGAGTCACCATCTGCTTGGCACAAGAGGCAATATGTCATGAAATAGGTTGAAAATAATTTTTAGTTAAGGGATCATTTCAGTTAGGGATCATTTTTAGTTAATTTAGTTTATTTTAATTTAGTTTAGTTAATTTAATTTTTAGTTAAGGGATCATTTTATTTCATATAAAATGCTCCCTACTGGTCTAATGGTAGATTCAATACTGGATTTAGGTCACACAGGAATAAGAAATAAAACATACTTTTAAAGTGGAAATATATTAAAATTATGATTTCTGACCTGGATCTGTTGCTGAAGCAAATTGATTTTGTGTTGTTGCTGCAGAAGCTGCTGCTGTTGTCTTGCAATCTGTGGAGAAATTGAACATGAAAAATTTTAAAGTATCTTTCGGTACCATGTGGAGAATTACCAATGTTCTGTTTCTCAAAGTTTGATTTGACACTGATCAAGTTGGTCAGGATACTACATCAGTGATCTATCTCACTAAATATGGCAGAGTTTCAAAAAATCCCTATTCCTGGTGATACATTAAAAAGGAACTCCTATGACATTTTCAGCCCTTTTCTACATAAGAATGTTGTATTAATGGGGGGAGGGCTTGCAACCAAAGAGTTTAAAGTCACAGTAAATACTGGCAATAGTGTATTCCTCAGTGAAGTTTTAGCTTTTTGTTTTGTTTGAGTTTCAGTAAATACTGTTCTCATTTTGGACTTTCACAAATCCTTAAACACCAACACTTCAACATGTCTTATTGTAGTATTTGTATTTATTTCTCTGCCAATAATGACTTCTGAAGAAAGTCACTGATCAATTTTATTTCTCAAATTTTATAATACATTTTAGTCCTCACCTTTAGACATTTCATTAGCATGCAATCTTCAAATGTTTCTCCTTGATCCTAAACTTTGTCCCTTGGATTCTTCAATATAATAATTTCTTGGTCTTGTTCCTACCTGTCTGTCTAGGCACATTACATTTTGCAATATCTAAGATTCAACTGTAGGCTCTCTTCGTTTTCCTCTCTACTACTTTCATTTACATCTGTGTACCAAGTACTTCTGAACTGCTTTCTTTGGCCTAAACCCTTGTTCTAAATTTCAGACCCATTTATCCAGAAACTTACTCAAAAGTACTTCAAAGTCAGGTCCAAAACTAAAATAGAAATTTAGCCCTCCATAACATCATATTAAGTGTTTTCTGTCTCAGGGAACAGCACAATCATTGCCCTGTCATTTGCACTTCTATCACCTTCCACATTTACTTAATTCAATGTCTCATGCTATGATTTTATTTTTTAAAACACCTTCCTAAAGAGAGGTCCATAAATTCAGAGAGGGTAGGGAGTATGCATATTTTGTTCACCATTTGCAGAGTGTGATGTAAAAGTGATACTGAATGAATGAATAAGATAAGAACATAAGAATGAATAGGTAAGAAGAAATTTTTAAATCCTTTATTATATGATACCAGATAGAAAACTTTCTCATAAGGACATAACTTCTTACCTCATGAAACTTATCACTCTCTTAGAAATAAATCTTAGATCTTATTCTCATTAAGATTCTTATCAATATCTTTCCATTATAAAAAATATTCCTTAACTTCTGTATCAGAAAGTTAAAAATCCAGAAAAAACTGATACATTATTATGAATAAAAGGAAAGCCACATGATGAGGATGTGTCTACAAAGCTGCACATTGTGTATTTCCTTTTTTGATACTGGTACATTTATGATATCTTAATACTTTCACTTTGTGTTTGGAATATGGTAAAAAAAAAACCTATGTTCTTCTGAAAAAAGGAGAGAAGATGGTTAAGAAAAATAAAGGAATATTGCTCCTTTCCTTTAATTTCTTTCTCCAATATATCAATATTTGAATTTATATTTGAATCTTTTTACCAGTACCATGAGAGTATCAAGAATCTGATCACCTCATACTCCTCCACACTTCCTCTTGTTCTAAACCACTTCGTCTCTTGCCTGGATTATTTCAACAGTCTCCTAATTGTTCCTTTTGCTTCTGTCTTTGCTCCCTGTAATCTGTTATCAAACATTACCCAGAGAGGTCTCTGGATATATGAGCCGGGGACCATATAATGCCTGCAAGCCTATATAATTGGGCCTTTTGTTACCACTGTGCTCTTTCTTGCCCCCTCATTCCTCCTTGCTTGCATACTTCTCTCCTAAATGTCTCTTGAACATACCAAAAATGCTCCTATTTCTCAAGGATACCCTTGCCTTGACATTTGCACTAGCTATCTCATCCAACTTGAATACATTAGCCACAGGGCTCACTTCCTCACCTCCTATAAGACTCTGTTCAAATGCTACCCATGCAATGAGGCCTTCCTTCAGCAACCATTTTAAAAGGGCTCAACTCCAGCTAGCACCCTAATTCACAAATCCCTGCTTTATTTTTCATCACAACAATAAGCTAGTTTACTGGTTTACTCAATGCCTGGCTTCTCAATTGGAATTAAATACAGGTGAGATTTTTATTCATTTTATTCCCTGCTATACTTCCAATAACAGAACAGAACCTGATATCACCTTGGGGCTCAAATGGTATTTGCTATGCAGATGGAAATGGAAAGGAGCTCAGACTCTGGGGGAGAGGCTCATGGGTAAGTAGGTCCATCTGTGTTTGCATGGGCCAGCATGAGAGTATTGTGCATACAGCAGGGATATTCTGCACTGACTAAGAAGTGCTGGAAGGAGGCTCAAAAAAGGAGTTGTCGGTTCCACCTCTTCCAGCCCAGAGGAAGGGGCTTCTGGGCCACTGTTCCACCACTCCCAGCCCAGAGGTAGGGGCTTCTGAGCTGCTGTTCCACTGCTCCCAGTGCAGAGGAGGTGAGCCACATGGCCACCAACAGCACCCCCCCCCATTAAAATGAGAAGACACATAAACAAGTCTCAAAACCAGACTTCCAGATCACCTACAGCAACCTCAAAGGGAAAGGAGATGGAACACTCTGATACTCAACTGCCTGGACTCCCTGAACTGGCAACAGGAGGATCTGGAAAAAATGAAATCAGAAATAATTTCTCAGATAACAGCAGAGATTGTGCCCATAGTGCAAGACATGATTAATAAATCAAGAGAGGTCACAGATAAAAAATAGAGGAGCCAAGGAACATGATGGAATCCCAACATAGGAAACAAATGGAATCCATAAAACAGATACAAACAGATCTCCAGGAGATTGAAAACTCCACTGAAAGTCTACACAGCAGAATGAGCCAACGTGAGGACAGAATTTCAGATATAAAAGAGAAGATTGCAATTAGTGAGGAGGAAAAGAAAAATTGCTTCAAAATTGTAAGGGACCATGAGAAATCAATCCAGCAGCTGTTAGATGATGCAAAGAAGAATAACATAAGGTTGATTGGAGTCAATGAAGAAACAGGAAAGAGTGCAGATGACATAAAAAAAAACAACTGTTCACAGAAGTAATGGAAGAAAACTTCCCAAGCAGAGGAAAAGAACTGGACATACAGATAAGTGAGGCATATAGGACTACAAATAGCCTTAATCAAAAAAAATCTACACATAGGCATATAATAGATAAGATTCCAGAAACCCAACAGAAGAATAACGTTCTACAAGCAGTTAAGAGAAAATAAACAAATCACATAGAAAGGAAATCCCATCAGAATCACAGCAGACTTCTTAACGCAAACCCTCAAGGCAAGAAGAGCTTGGAATGACGTATTCTAAGCCCTAAAGGAAAACGGCCTCCAACCCAGACTGATGTACCCTGTAAAAGTATCTTTCAAAATTGATGGAGAAATGAGATACTTTCATGACAAAGAGCACCTTAGGAACTTCATGAATACCAAACCAGCACTGCAAAAAATTTTAGATACTATCCTAGGAACAGACATGAGGATCACAAACTCAGGAAGCACAGCAGAATGAATCCATTGGGTGTGACAAGAAATTAAATGTAAAGGGGGAGAATATAACAAAAAGAAAAAGTTATGACAATGATAAGTCAATACGTATCAGCTATAACAATCAATGTTAATGGCCTCAATTCACCAATCAAAGGAAATAAAATGGCAGAATATGTCAAGAAGCAAAATCCAACAATATACTGCATACAAGAAACACATTTAATTCAAAATGAAACTCATAGAATGAAAGTTAAAGGGTGGAAAACAATACTCCATGTGATGGGAACTCAAAGAAAAGCAGGAGTACCTATCCTTTTTGCAGATCAAGTGTATTTCAAACTAACACTGATTAAGAGAGACAAAGAAGGACACTGCATCTTGGTAAAGGGAACAATCCAACAGGAAGAGATGACAATCATAAACATCTGTGCACCAAACACTAGTTTGTCCAACTATATAAAACAAATATTAACAGACATGAAAAGTCATATGCATTAATACAAT